TCTGAATGCTTCGAAGAGCAAGGAACTGTTCATGACCAGCCGTAGATCGATAACTGGTACCTGTGTCAACCATAATCCCCATAAATACGCCTGTTGAATATCGACTAGAAAGAAATATGTCGATTGTTGTAGTCAATGATGTGATCTCTGTTTTAGGTGTTACCTTATAACTAGCACAAAATGCATGGGTTATGGATTGTCGTTTAAGGTCTTTAATCAGTTGTTCGCCGTCAACATCACCAAAACACTCTGTAGTATATGTTCTAGACATATGGCTGGCAGATAAATCAAGATTCTTAATGTCTTCAAGTTCGAATTCATCGATGAATTGTTCATAATCTGTTGAATTATCGGGATCCAAACCTTCATATTCGTTGATGAACTGTTGAATCTTACTGTCATTCCATGGAGTAGCTTTGAACCTTTGGAATGAGATCTTTCGCTCTTCATCGCTAGGGTTTGTACTCCAGCAACCAGCCTTTTTGCAGACAAAGTATTTCTTAGTTGTTGCAGGTTTTCCCGAGCTTTTCGATAGACTTTCGTTTCTAGTACTCTTGCCTTTGTACTTGCGATCGACGTAGAATGCATTACAGTTGTCATGTATGTTCATACCTTTTGAGACGAAATTCTGCTGGGTTCTATTTTGAGTGTGTATGGCAATAGCGTTTCTAATCTCTTCAGAGGCTCCTTGAAAAGTAGGACATCTCCGAAAAAGTGCTATGTTGCACTCGGGCACATTACGACAGGCCCTATAGATCTTATCCCGAATCATTAGGTCAGTCTGAAATTCTGGCCGCAAGATTGCCTGGTCTCTGAGAAGTTGATCTCTCATTAGATCGAAACACTGTAAGATTGTCATACCAGGGTTTCTCAACGTATAATCTTTCAGGGTTGTATCTTCCCATTCAATTGTCTTCCGTTCTTGGCTTTGCTCTGTCTCAAAATAGCTTTTCAAGTCTTGAATCATCTCCGAAAAATTACATTGGTTACCGGAAACTTTGTTGAAAAAATAATCCCTAGCCTCACCTGTGAGCATAATCGGAAATGCTCTATGGTAGTCTAAAGGGTCCACATTTGCGTTGTGGCACATAGCGTAGAAGATTCGCAGCTTTTTATCAAGAACATCATCCGCGCCACTATACCTGTCCTCCTTTAGATAGGACTTTTGCAAGTTTTGAATGTTAAAAGATGAAACTTGGAGCGATCCACTTTGTGCATTAATCTTTTGTGTATATGATGGCTTCTGTTGACTTTCTGGAATAATAGGAGCTGGGTTGAGGTTATTTCTTGCGTCACCGCTTATTCTAGATGCAGGAAATTTTATATTCGGACTCTGCTGCATGAGAAATGGTTGAGGTAATGGTATCTCATCTGGGGATTGTAAGTCCATCTTGCTTGAAGGCCATGGTATCTTTCTCTATTCTTCCTTTCTTAAGTATGCGTAACTTCCTGGGAGATCTGGATTCCTTCGCGAGTTAAATTTTCCTGAAGTAATCATCTTCGCTAGCTCTTCCGGTGGCCATTCTGTAGGTTCCCTTTCATCCAACAACTTTGTCAACCCTTCAGCCACAGCGTCATCTCTATTTATATATACTCCATTATCTCGTAGATAACTTCGTAAAATTCCTCTTGTATATTTAGACATCATGTTGAAGTCTTCTTGCTGCCATTTTGCAAATTCTGCCCGAAAATCCTCCCAAAGCCCTTCATCTCGGTGATCTAGCTTTTTAAAGTACGCAATTTGATCTTCTATGTAGCTATCATAGTCTTCACTTGGGACGTCTGGGGTGTCTTCGTTGATAAATCGCGCCGTCATTTTTGCCGGTTGGATTTAGAAGTGCAATCTTGAAATAATTAAAAATGCGTGATGGAACGCGGAGCCAATTGTTCTTCTAACTAAAAAAAGTCTTCCTGAATGAATCCAAGATATACTTATAGCTGTAAAGGCGGTACTTGCTGTCTGCGGTCGATACTGAACGAAAATAAAATCGAAATTGATCAACCACTGATCAGTGTTGGTACAACGGGTTTCACTTGGTTTAATGCCTTAAAAGTGCTAAAAAACAAGTGATATATTCTGTCTATCTCTCTTCTGTATCCCTCTTCAAGCATTAATATCTAAAGTACAAAATGAAGCTTAGCGCCCTGATTATATCACGTGATGCGCTGACCAATACTTTTGGAAGTAAATGTTTAATACAAGCCCTTTATCCATACGCCATTCACCTGTGAACCGACAGTGACACCTAATGACTCGGTTTGGTTTGGGGGCGAGTATTGGCAGCTCGCCCCGAAGATCGGCTCTGCTTTTATGTTGAATCACCAATATTTTGCGCGCGTTAAATTTACTTGTATTGATTAAGAGTTAATTTGCAAAATTTCAGCATATTTCATTCCCTTTTCCTTTGCGCGCGCGCTTTAATTAGGCTTTCCAAATCATGTTCGTTCATTTTATTTATGCGCGCGCTTCATGCTAGAGATTCTTGAGGTTGTAATTTTTAGGAGATTGACATCCGAAACTGTTTCTTACTCAATTAGCTCAACTCAACTAAGACTGAAAGGCCGAGCAGAAATGATATGATAGATGATATGTCATGGCGAGACATTCTGGAACCAGAGTCTAAGCAGAATGCCTGAGGATAAAATTCACGGAACAGGTTTTTCGACTCACCCTCAACACTTGCACTTATATGGTGAGACTAGATAATGCGCCAACTGGAATTGATATGGTTGAGGTCACAGTTTGAGTCATGATGAGAAATTACAACAGTCTTAGTTGAATTACGTTAGATAGTTATTTGTACTTAAGGAAGCTGGAGCTACAACAAAGTAGTTCTCCAGCTTCACAATCTTATAATATTATTACAGTATTCCTCTCGCAAACCCGCTTCCTTCTAGCCATAGTACTTCGTCGACTTCCCACCTCTATAGTATTCACCACTTGACCTTTTCATACCCTCGGCGAACGGCGATCTCGATCTTCCCTATAGCACGCCGTAACATGATAAATGGTTTGCATGTATATAAGCTAGTGAGAGGAGATCTGAAGTGGACAGACAATTGAATCCACTTCAAACATTTTTAAAGTATCTCTGTGCAGTTCAATAGTTTATTTGTGTAGTATTGGGATTTTTTTATTTTTTTTGCATCAGATTTTGATTGCGTATGCAGCTATCTAGCTATGACACAATACCATAGAAAAGTACAGAATAGATGATTCAACATAAAGGAAGAGCACTCAAGCCTTAGATTTCATTTGCAGGTATCACTGCGAAGTTATGGTGGCTTTTTGTTCACCCCAAGTCAACCCTCATCCATGAATACCCACCCAAAGGAAGATCTCAAAAACACTGAGTTATCCAGATATGCCTCCGTCATCCATCAACTTTTCTCCGCGCGAAATTTAATCTGAGATGTCTCCTTCCCAAGTGGGATATGTGTCCTAGCTATCCAGACTCTACTTGGCAGACCGGCCAAGACAATGTACCACCGCACCATCCAGCCATAGCGATGTTTGTAGTGTCAGCTGCACTCTCGCAAGCGAAGTCTTAGCGCGCACAAAGTTCAATTCAATAAACTCTTGCCAAATTTCGGAGATTCACGCTCTTCGAGGTTATATCCATCTTTTGCATCATCTTTTCAACTTGTCCTGATCCCTCTCACGTCCATCCCTAAGAACAGTCTTCCAGATTTGTGCGCCACGCTTTGCTTCCTCCGTCGGGTATAAATATCGGCGTGGGCGTGTATTTGGTGACCGGCCGAGGCCAGAGAAAGTCGAAGAGAGGTGTGGTCATTGGGATGAGGATGTACTAGGTCGTACTTGTAGACTTGATGAGGCTTCGTTGAGAATCGGACTCTTTGGGAGCGAAAAATTGACGTGGTAGAGTAGTTTGAATCATTGCTTCGTGGGCCAACTTGTTCGATACTGCGAAGTTTGAATGAACTTGGGTCTGGGAAGATATTTCACTCCCAGGTTCGTAGAAGACTCCATGTACAGGTGTTCAGTCTTGCCCTCCAGTACCTACTTCTCAGATATGACAAAGAGCTGACGCTGAGAGATGATCGTGATCTAGGGTTGTGGATGATATTTCAAGCAGACAACGTCGAACTTCATCTACAAAAAGAGGTGCGTAGATCACTTGCCATAGGCATGTAGGAGTTTACATGAAGATATTCGGTTGCCTGCTTACCCGAGCAAGCTGCGTGCGAAACAAATATATCGGCTCCCTCAGTCAGGGTACTATAAATGACTCCTTGAGATTGAATCAGAGGGGGTCACGACAACTGAAAAACTTCCGCCATCCAACCCCTTTCTGTCGCAGTGGTACTTGCAAATGAAATCCGAGGCATGAGTTCTCTTCCTTTATATCGAGTCATCTATTATACACTTTTCTTTGATATTGTGTCATAGCTAGATAACTGCATAAGCAATTAAAATCTGATGCAAAAAAATAAACTCTACATCTAGCATTGGTCGCTTCCAAACTATCCGTAGTTTGATACATAATTTTGAAGAATTACATCCAAATGAAGGATATGGGGTCTCGCTACTTGTGGAGAACAGCTGCATGGCGAGTTTGTGAGCAGCAATGAGCTTTGCTAGTAAAGTGTCTTAGCTAGTTAGGCCGCATACACTTAATGAATTAAATAAAAAAAATTGCTAATAAAGGCATAGATCTTTGAACTCTCCATTAGCTGATGTGACCTGGTTAGGCTACCCAAACAGAGATATAAAAAGTTACAAATAAAGGTATCAGATTTTCTACGGTCACGTTTAAGGTTCGAAGCAATTATAAATAAGTAGATTATATTAAATTTGTTATTATTAATCTCTGCAGCAGTAATCACCCCTTTTTTATTGAAACAAAAAATCATCCCAAGTACTTTGTTACCCTATTCACGCCTGATTGGTGATATACTTGTGTCCAGCTCAATTCAGGTAACTTATGACACAATATTTGTTGATCTTCTGTTTATGTATTTATTCGGAATTTTTCTTTCTAATTAATGGAAAACTTGTCAGGATGATACTTGTGAAAGAGAACAGCTACTGTGAAAAGTTCTTTAAACTTACCTTTGATCTGATCAATGGTTTTATTGAATGCCGTAATCATATCTTTATAAATACGTTCGTGGTCATCAGGCGTTTGGAAATCAATTCCTCCGTCTCCAAATAATACCGTTCGTAGACTGGTGGCTAATTTCTTCAATTCCACAAAACTCGGCGAAAACAAATCGAGTGTGATAATTTGCATCAAATTTACACAGGAAAGCTTAGTTAGAAAGTTTGTCATCATATTCTTAATGCACCAGTCATGTAGGGTTTTCACCTCTTCCGATTCATCGCGATATTCATACTCTATACATCCCACGAGAAAAACGTAAAAAAATGATTCTAGATCATGATGGTAAGTACGTGCTATGGATTTCCTGAACTTTGCTGCATAGTAAAGTCTTTGAAGCGCCATAAACTTCATGGTGCCTGTCAACTTGAGATTGTCGTTCTTTTCAGTAGCTTCTCCAACCTTGACAGCATGGTCTAGGTCGATTAATACCCCTTTAGACACACCACCGGCGGACACCAGAATTATGTTGCTATCCGAGATATCGCCATGCAGTATATTCTTGACAAATAGGCGTTGGTGTCCCAAGATTGCATCTCGAATGCCTACAAGAAACTCCATTACTGTCTGACAGGAACGGAGACTGCGGCCACGAGGCAACATGACTATTCTGGTGAGCTCTCGATCTCTCAGACTGGGGATGAGAGGCGAGATCTGCACACCTTCACCCAGAGAGATGAAATGGTCTTGGCCTCGCATGTTCCAGCTCTTTGCTTTGCCAAAGTTGAGTCCCTTCAGGTGATCACTTATCCTGTAAACTACATCTGCCATGACGTACTCGACTACACCTTCTGTTCCGCGGGATTCTAGCAAGAAATCTTTTTCTGACTTACCCGGATTTCTAATCCATGAGTATTTTACGACGTAGTTTTTATCTGAAGTTTCATAGCAGGTTGTGCCGCGAGTAACTAGTGTCCCTACCTTAAATATAGGATCAGGGTTGACGTCGAATACCCTAGTCTCTTTCAGGTTCTCGTCATCAACTGTAATGAAAGACCTTCCGTTAAACTGTTGAATTGATGAGTCGATACCAAGTTCTTGCTCATTCATCAGCAAGTACGAGGATATCGCTCGCACCAACTTCTCCTTTTGAGCTGTTAATTCTATCAAGCCCGAGCTATATGCGCCTGACCGATTAAATACCCACAATTCAAAGTGTGCTTTGAACAAGCAGAACCCATGTACGAAGTGGCGTAGGGGCTGTGAGGAAAAAACCTCGAGCGCGAGTCTAGACAGTTGGAGAAACTTGTCTTTCCTTTCAGAGCTAGCAGGCTGTTTAGTAAACTCTCCCAGAACTCTAACATCCTTCCATTCGTGAATCTGAGAGCTAGGTAGTTCGATACCTTTTGTGAGGAAGTCAACTTGCCAATTTTTTGTTGATCCTTTCATCTGGCGATTAGATCTTGTTCTACAGTATTTGCTACGCAGTTGTAAGTCTTTTGTTTCTTTGGTAAGATCTGGAATAATTTCCGACGGCTTGGAGAGTGGAAATGTAATCTGGTTCAGGAAGTTGTCTCTGAAAAATTCCAGCCAGTTCCACACTTCACTTTCGGTCATGTCTTCGTTCAAAATTTTATGATGGCTGACTTTCTTTGGATGATTCGGCGATGTGCCTTCATTCAGAGGTTCTAATGCCCGGCCTTCTTCCTGTTTCTTTTGTTCATCAATTTCATACTTTTGGTAACTCTCCCATATTCCCAAAGTTTGATTTGATCATGTTTTATTGAGAAAAAACATTTCCCAGAAATTGTCGAAATCAGTCATTACATTTCCATGAATTTCGTTTTCTAGTGCTAATGTGAGACATGAGGCATTTTTATTAAAGCCCGTTACTTCAGCAATATTTCGATTAATGGTTTCACCACTGTGAACAGGTGGCGACGTGGATCGCAAGGTGCCTTGAGGAAGGGTTGGCCCAGATGAAAGTGTTTCTGCCAGATTGACAGCAATTCCCACGATATGACGTTCATCTTCATTTTTGAGAATCAATTCAGTGAGGTGTTCGAATACGAGCATATCATAATTGTTTGATTTAATACCAAGAGACATCTCTCCCAATACAAACTCTAATTTTCTTGTTTCATCATCGTCCGGTATAGTAACCACGTAATAAAGTAGACTTGTGTAGAATACGTAAAGAGCTGATCTGTCAGTTCAGTTCACGTAGATTGAGTGTAAAATTTACCACGGTGATGACCCAGCCGAGAATAATCTGAATGAAATTTGTTGATAATACCTTGAATTGGATTCTGGGCAAGATGGGGTAAAAGCTCTGGATATCGAAACATCTCGTGTAACTTTGATGTGAATTGGCTAGTCACAATGAATTTTATTTTAAAATCGACGTTGAGATGTAATAATGTGGTTGATGTGGTGTTGGGATGAGGTTGGTTTATTTGAGTGCATTTTGGAGTCTGTTCAAATTTAAAGCCGTGACTATGCACAGCTCTTGGCATTAGTCACCTGTTGGACGGCCTAGTTCCTTGTGAAAGACCGGAAATCTATCGCACCCTACAAGAAGCAGTCCGCTGCAGCATAATTCCAACCCAAGCACCTACGGGTACAGTCCAAACTAAGGATGCAATTCCTTAGACCCTAACTGAGGTGCGAAGGCTTTTCACAGAATATCCGAGACCTGCCGGCAATAGATTTGCCCACTTGTTGACCCAAACTCAGAAATGTAGTGATATCAGCGAGTCAAGAATGGATTCATGAGTACCAAGCCCATACATTTAAAAATTCTCTCCATCAACCTGTGGCGCTGCTCATCTGCATACGAAATCACCCTCCAACTTGCTTTCGGCACTAACACAAACGTCTTGCTAATACAAGAGCCGTATATTCGTAAAGATTTAACCAGACAAATTACCCGAAACATCCTTCTTTCGAATGCTTCAATCCTATTGACGACTGGTCCATTCGGTCTCGAATACTATCCTACTTGCGGAAAAATAATTCCATTTTTTTTCTCAAGTCCGTCCCAGTTCTATTTTAGCCTACGGAGCCGAGGATATACTATTTCTCTTCGCCAAATCTTCTAATAAATTTTCTCCTTTAATAGTAAATATCTACAATCACCCCCTTGGAGCTATAAGTCCAAGCGACGGGGTCTTCTTCCTACTTTCTTTGAATAACCTCGTGTTTCCTAAGCAAACAATTCTGGCTGGAGACCTCAATCTCCACCACCCAAATTGGCTTCTTTCTCCCCGAAGACTAACGTATTCACTGAAAGGCTTCAGTTCAAAAATCTCTCCTTTATTACGGAAATAGACAAACTAACACAGACCTGTGGAAAAGTACTCGACCTTATTTTCGCTTCGGAAAAACTCTGTGCCAGAAATGCCTCTGCATCTGTCCAACAGAATCTAGACGTAACTTCAGACCATTTCCAGTTACTTGTTGCAACCCCCTGCCCGGGCAAAAAACATCGACCCGAGACAAAAATACGCATAGGAACCACCGACCAAGAAAAGTTAATTGCAGTTCTTTATCCTCTCCTTTCCGAAGTCCATACGCTCAACTCCATGTTACGGTCTGACCGTTGTTTGAGCTTACGAGTCGACCTAAGCTTAATGTTGAGAATTCTTACGATAAGACTGTATGGGGAGCAGATGGAGATTAACGAAACAGCACTACTAATCGGGAGGCTGAAGCGTTATTACAACTTAGTGACACCTGGAAATACATGGCTGGGTATAAAGCATTGTGCCTATGGGCAAGTCACTAGTCTGTAGATTTACGAGGTTGATCAACTCATATAAATACCTGTTAGAAGTAGCTAGAGTTCTCTTTTCTCCTCATATAGTTTAGTAAATCGATTTATTCATCACTCACTCGGTTTCCATTACACTCCATCACCCCCGAAAACGTAAGCAAAGGGCTCAAGAGCTCATCCGGGAGTTACATGAATCTTATGCAGGATCTTCGAAAAGAAAGCTTGCGCACAATAGAGGACAACCATGTTGGAACGATAGTATCAAAGAAGTTGGAAATATCTACCGAGGGAAAGTTCGGGCTAGCCGTGATAATCAAACGCGATTCGTCCTCGGACCTTACGTTGAGATGTCACTGCACGCGGGGGGAAGGTACAGGATGTGGAAAGCTGCTAGCCAGACCTAAGCGATCTGGCACTTTTCTTTTTTTTTTAAATCATTTAACGTGTATTCATCTATCTAGCTATGACACATGACCGGTGCTAAGTATACAAATTGGATGACTCTTTTGACGTTAGAGACACTCATACTCTGGATTTCATTTGCAAATACCACTATGAGGTATGTTCGCTTACACAAACAGTCGAACCTCCTCCGTTAGTACCCAACAAAGGGACGTTTCAAAACCTTTGGTTATCCAAGCATGCCTTCGTCATCCATGCATACCAGCGCCGCGAGAAATGTGGTTGTGTTTTGCCGGGTTTGAACCAGCGATCTACTATCTCAAGTGGGATATGTGTCCAAGCTATCCAGACTCTACTTGGCAGACCGGCCAAGACAATGTACCACCGCACCATCCAGCCATAGCGATTTTTGTAGTGTCAGCTGCACTCTCGCAAGCGAAGTCTTGGCGCACACAAAGTTCAACTCATTAACCTCTTGCCAAAATTCTGAATTTCACGCTCTTCGAGGTTATATCCTCCTTTTGCATCATCTTTTCAACTTGTCCTGATCCCTCTCACGTCCATCCCAAAGAACTGTCTCCCAGATTTGTGCGCTACGCTTTGCTTCCTCCGTCGGGTGTAAATATCGGCGTGGGCGTGTATTTGGTGTCCGGCTGAGGCCAGAGAAAGTCGACGAGAGGTGTGGTCATTGGGATGAGGATGTACTAGTACGTACTTGTAGACTTGATGAAGCTTAGTTGAGAATCGGACTCTTTGGGAGCGAAAAATTGACGTGGTAGAGTAGTTTTAAATCATTGCCTCGTAGGCCAACTTGTTCGGTATTGCGAAGTTTGAATGAACTTGGGTCTGGGAAGATATTTCACTCCCAGGTTCGTAGAGGACACCGCGTACAGGTGTTCAGTCTTGCCCTCCATGTTATGATATGAATTTGAATTTGAATTTGAAATCTTTTACGTGACAGGAAGAACCTAACATCTATTTAGACGTGACACGGGTAGATGGGCTCTGAAAGCTCATTGCTACCTACATGACCGGCAGTGGGGCCAGAAGCGACAAAACAAAAGATTGTTAAAAAAAAAAAGAACAGTATGTGTCTGAGTTACGGTGCCCTGCGCCGCATCCCTATCTTCCACACCCATCTACTCTCGGGTCAGAAACAATCTCAGCGTGGTCACCTCCCACCCTGTTCATTCTTCGGCAGACTGTAACATCGGCTTGTAGTTAAGAATCGAATGAACTTCTGCCATCCCTTCTCCCCTATCATTTCTCTGGCCCCAGGTGGGGCCATTTTCTCATAGATTCTCCAACGTAGCAAAGCAGGTCGGCACTCTGAAAAATGCCAGGGCCTTTTCTCTCGGCCGCAAACGCATTTCAGATCATCATGTTCGGGGTTGAAACGTCGATGGTAGTCGGCATAGTCCCCGTGGCCTGTTCTTGCCGCAATAAGACGATGGTACGCCCATCTTGGTAAAGCTAGTTCCGGTGGTCTTTTGCAACGCATGAATAGGTCCAGATCTTTGTATCGTTTCGGTCGATACTTCTGCCACCACTCTTCCACGAGCTCTTGGCTACGCTGTTTAACCCACCTCCCTAATGCCGCAAATGTTAGATCTTGATCTTCTAGAATGGGCGCAGCTGAGGTTAGTGACCGGTTATTGGAAGCTCCCAAGGCTGATTTGGCCAGCTTATCGGCTTCTTCATTGCCTTGAATCCCCACATGCCCGGGTATCCAGCGTATTTCCACACGCTTATTGTATCTCAGCGATGAAAACTTGTCCACCACCGACTGCGAGGAGTTAGATCTTCCTCTTTCGAGCGCCTGGGTGGCCGCTTGGTTGTCAAGAAGAATGCAGATCAGTAAGTCTTTTCCTACCTCTATTGCAGCCTTCAAGGCTTTCATGGCACCTACAACTTCTGCATCGAATACCTCTCCTCCGAGAAGTGGACCGGAGCCACTTGCAACTAGCTTGCCTCCTTGGTATACTACATACCCCCAGGATGATTTTCCGGGACCCGATGATGATCCATCAGAGAAAGCGAAGACTGTGTTAGCTAGGCGGGAAGCTAACCACCGCTTTATGCATCCAGACCTAGCTTCATTTTCTCGACTATATGGAATCGATGCTGGAGTGCCACGTGGGAAGTATAGCTTTCCGGGGCCTTCGGCTGTCGGAACTCGACGCACACTCATTTGTAGGCGTGTCATGTACCGTTTTGGTTGTCTGAACAATCGATCTCTTTGTCCCGATCTAAGACCTAAGCGTCTTATTGTCTCTTCCGGATCCTCAATCGCCCGAATGGCTAGAGGGTGCCAGACATCCATTCTTCGCATACGAGCTGCAGACCGCAGCATCTTTTGCTGAAGAATTATCGATGCCGGGGGTATTCCCGCTTCACGATGAAGAGCAACATTGGGAGTGGTACGCCACGCTGGGAGTGC